AAGACTTTCCTCATCTGGTGGGAGCAAGTTTCAGGTGTGGTGAGGCAAGACGGGACACCGGGAAGGATTTCTTGCCTAGCTGAAAGACTTGTTATTTAGCACTGGATTCTTGTAATTCATAAGCAACTTTCTGACCATTTTTTTCCTGTGCATCTTTTTCAATGGACAGCATTTTACCTGGAAGCTTTTGTACTTTCAATCTTATAGTGAACTAATAAAGATATTTTACAGGACTATTTCAAGTTGTGCTTGTTCTTTCTTTCAATCATTCATTTTATTTCCAGTAGGACAGGTTAACTGCCTCATGCAAGTGCAGAAACCTTTGTTTCGGCTTCATTAAAATAGTTCTTCTGCAAGAGCACCACGAATGCAGGGAGACATCCATTTTCTTCAGGCTCAGTGTAGAAAAGGGGCTGCTCCTGGGTTCTCATACCCTGTGAGCGCTGTCTACTCTTCTGAACCTCATCTGCGTTGAGCAAGCGTAGCTTGCTTTAACAAAACCTCACCCCTCGGGTAGTCCCACAGCTCTTTCTCCTAGAGCTCTGCTTTACCACCCACATCTCCAGGCACCCCCAGCTTTCCTCCCTGCTGCCTTCTGGGCCACATGCAGCAGCCCCGTCGCTCCCTCCTGCCTCTGCTTTTGCCCAGATGGGTGCAGGATACAGGACCGCAGCCCCCCACAGCTCCGGGCTCCCCCCAACAGCCCGGTTCATGCTCTGTCCCAGTGGGCAGGCACACAAACTGAACCGAGAGGAACCCTTTGACCAGCCAGCTTGTCCGGCCACCCTGCTCACTGCAGTGCAAGAGAGAGCAGGCTGCAACCCTCTCATTAGAGCTGGGCTGAGCTGTTTACTCAGCGTGCAATACTCCTGCTTGCAGCAGAATCAACGCCCCCACAAACGACCAGCACAAAACTTCCTGCACTTCATCCTCACAGCAGCAGCGAGGAGGGAGCAGAGTTCGGCGTGGGCTTTCTGTGCACGCTCCCCCCCCGGAGACGCAGCCAGTCCCGCCCGTGCTTCCTTCAGCCTCTCGCTCCTCTGCATGCCCAAGAAGGCAAGACCAAGAAGCCACAAGAAGCAGCCCTGACAAGCCCAATCTCTATTTATCAAGATGAAGTCATTCTAAAAGGGCTCTCAGAATAGCCAGCTGGCCAAAGGCATCTTTCAAACCTCAGCGTCTCTCTCCAAAGGATGTTTTTTCAGCCTCTAAGAAAGCAAATTAAAAATAATTAAAAACTAATATTGTGACTCTTCGCCCTAACTCATGCATAACATTTATTTCAAAACAGCTGCTGCTGTTCAGGTGCCAGCCATGGACGCATTGCTCGCCCTCGGTGACGGTGGGAGAGGCTTTTTCGGGAGCCGCGGTCAGAGGGGCGATGGGGCTGCATCACCACGTGGCAGCTCTGAGGCCAGACCCCAGCTGCATCCCTGCGCATTAGGTTGTGAGGTCTAAAAGGCAAAGAAAGGAAACAGAACGGGTTCTGGGGTAGATGCTTCGCAAGGTCCCTTATCCCCAAGGGAACGCAGCTGGCCCACAGCACAGCTCTGGCGTGCGCTTGTCATGCCTCACATCCCAGAACACCATTAGTTACCTTAAATACGCAGCCTTTAAGGATAATACGTTTGAGATACTTCCTCAACTTCTGAGGTGCACTTTCCTCTGAAGAGGAAGAAAGAAAGAAGTATTTTCCCACATTGCCAGAACTGAGCATGGGTGCTACGAGGAAAGCAAGCGAGAACGGCGAGACCACAGAAAGTCCCTACAGCAATCAGCGTGGGGCCGTGCCAGTCCCGGTTTGCAACGCGACATTTTCAAGGGGAGCTGCACATGGGTGCTTTGGGAATGAGCTGGGCACAAACCTTTCCTCTGGGCAGCCACCGAACCAGCTACCCACAGGTGAACCTCCCCTCTCAGAACATCAGGTGCATGGACAAAGAGCATGGCTAAACACAGAGTTAGATGGAATTCTCCTCTTTCCTTCTCAGCCTCATGATCTCTGCTGCTCAGCGCCTTCCCTGGGAATGCATCTTCCGGAGAATTTCAGGATGCAATGCTTCCTTGGCTCCTGTTCCCTGGGGCCTCTCCCTGTCAGCCCCCTTCAGCAACAGCCTCACCTCCAGCTTTCTAACCCGACTATTTCACCTTCAATCCTACCCAACTTCAGAGGCATCAAACATCAGAGCAGATGGCAGAAGCTCAGAAAAATCACACAGCATTTGCCTTTTCCAAGCCACCCTGCTTCCCAATTTAGACTAAAAAGAAATCCGATCAGTCAAATCCAATTCAAGCTGGGCTGTAAGTCTGGAAAAATGGATTATGCAAAGTGTCTGACATCAACAGCTCGATGTGAATGTGGAATTGAGCTTGGAAGGGGCACAAAGTGTTTGTACCTATGGGTTTACAAATAGGACTAAGACTAAAGCACCTTGTGCTTCTTGACAAAAGATTACATGACTGATAAGAAGCACAATTTTCCAGTAGGTTATGCCAGCACTAACACAAGCATTATCTGCCACTGCTACCACCTTCAGGCTGTCCAGGCCAGAGGAGTTGGAGGCATCCCACTGCCCAGTCCAACCCTTAGAGCCCTAAACTATTTGGGTTCCTGTTTCAGTCCTGGCACGGTCCAAACAGCGGTTCTCATCACAACACTGCTAACTCATTTTATTGTAAGCACCTATTTCAAATTCCATTGAGAATTTTATTTTTTAAACAATACACTTACACTTTTCACTGTCATTACAGGGAAGTTAAACAGAAGAGAATTCTATCCTACTCTGTATCTGCAGTAGCATTGCCATCTCCGCCTTACATTTGTCTTACCCAGGCTAGCTGTTACACTTACCACCTCCCTTAAACTCATTATGCCAGTCTTAAGACTACAATTTTGGTCAGAAACAGTTTCGTGCTTACACAGGTCTTCACCTTCATTCTAAGTGAAGAATAAATACTATAAAAGAGATAGAATCTTAACAAATAATTCTTTATTAAATCCATGTGTTACAAAACTCCTCCCAGCAGCAGCCCCAGTGCTCAGTGTTAGGATGCCCTCTACCACCCCAGCACAGGACTGCTGCTGGGGGACACCCCAGCTCTCGCCCTGCCCCAGCTGACCAGAATAGGAAAATGCAAAGCATTTCAGTAAACCTGCAGTACGCAACTACAGTAACTAAACATCCACTTAACATAATCTGCTTCTTGCACAATTTTTATGTTGGTTGAGATGCTGAAATTTAAGGAATTAGAGATTTGTATCCTCCCATGCAAACATTTGTCCACAAGCTGGAAAATCAGTAAAGCAAATCTTTTCTTCCAGGGCCTCAAGTCAGAAGTAAATTTTTTTTCAGATCTTTGGCTTATGAACTGTTGACTTGCATGAGCTTTGAAAAGCTGCCTTACAGCAGCATAAGCTAGAACTCTAATCAGCTCCAATAAGTAAGCACACCACAAGCTAGTGTGTATTTACACAGAACTCTTAGAAAAGCTATTTAGAAGTGGAAATGTCTGTGCATTTGAACTCCAGCACTGGTTGTGCCATATCTTGAATACTTCCTCATGTTCCTCAACTTAAACATGGGTTAAATTGACAAGACCACAAACCAGCAAACTAATCAACTAATGAAAGATACTATGGTCATAATTAAAGGCCACAAAAAAGGGATTGCAAATTGTTTCATGGGTATGACCTGGTCCACTGATCCCATGTGAAAACTAAACCAGAGGAATTAATGTTATTTTCCTGGGGAGATTTTTCTTGCAAATAAACCAATACAAGTGAACCAAAATACTGGTTCAATGCAAATTCTCTTCCCACATACATGTACCTATGTAGGAATATGGGTTAGAATAGCAGAGCCCAGCCTACCACCTGTGCAAATTTTATATCTCTAGTCTGTGGCTAAATTAATTCCAGTGTAAAACCACTGTACGGCTTCAGTAACTCACTTGGATTTTTCTGTCATTTCTTCCATTCTGCAGCCCCGCCCAAGCAAAACTTCTCCCAGTACAGTGAAAGTCCTGGAGCTCCTTGAGCTCATTCTGCCTTCAAGGGGCAGGAAAAGCTGTTCGAGAGGGGTGACTCAGTAAGGAACCGAGGCTCGAAGGGAACAGAATTACACTTTTGCAAATCTGTCTCTAAATGTGGCTGTCAAGGTACCATTTCTACCACGGCTCAGTGTTTGGAAATAGCATTCTTCCAGCCCCAAAGAAACCCAGGTCTCTGAACAGGTACAAGGAACAGCATCCGGTCCTCAGCAGGGAGATGTAAGGTGTTACCGCTCCACCTGCCCAGCCCACACATTGTATTTTCCTCAGCTCTGTGCACTGTCTTGGCTACCCCTTATAAGCTAATTCTCACTTTTGATAGCAATGTCAGTGTCCAATAAATTTACATTTGTATAATCCAAATATGAATACATACTACTATGCATAACAGGCATCCTGAATGGATACAGCCTGCCAGAGCACCCCTTTTGTCATCACTTTTGGTCGGATGTGTTTGTGTCTCTGCACATAGGAGTGATGTAAACACTAGTCTGCACTGGAGACTGCACCATTCTGTCAGGACTGCTCACTTCCCGATCCCGTCTGTCATCAGTACAAAACCCTGCCCAGGTTCCGCTCCAGGAAGCCACGAAAATTTTGTTCCTTGAGGTGTAACCAAATGCCAGGGCTGGCAAACATGGTATTGTATACACAGAAAGATTTACTCATGGGCCAAAAATAGTCTCTGGGTACCAGCAGTGGGCAGCTCATGGGTTTTAGGTTGAGATATGGCTTCTTAAACCACTGAAGTTTTCATCTGGATGCTGAGATCGTATTAAAAAGGAAAGCCACTACCACTCTGGAGTAAGAGAGTCACAGATGTAGTCAGCATCACATTTTCAGCTGTATCAGAACCGAATTTTCTCAAAACAAAGCACTCTTTCTCCTCTGCTCAGAGATCCATCCCCCAGGGTTCACATCCATTTGCAACATCTTCATCACCCACTTGTCTTTCCTGGCCCCATCAATGAACTCATCAAGAGACAACTGCCCTGTGTACGAGATGAGGAGGACACAAGATGGGGAGACAAAACATGACAGATGAGTAAGAGGCAGTAAGAGACATCTATGTTCCAGAAAATATGCTAATAAGACAAAAGCTATACTTCATTTCCCCATGTAGTTCTGGCCAGCTAGCTGAAAGACAAACCACCAGGCTGTAAGCCAGTGCATTCTCACCTACCCCATGCTGTGGGCTAACCGAAATGTTGCGTTAGCTCACACATACTGCTCCAGGAGGATTGCAAGTCTGGTCCTGCACACTCCAGTTTGACTGGAGCCACTGTCTTTACTCAGACTATTTGTGCTGGAACTGGGACCTGTGCTCTGGCTGCTGGGGGGTTTTAGAGGATGAGATCCATGTGGCATCAAATTCCCAGAGGATTAGTTACCCCTCTGTATTTTACATTAAAATAACAATGAAAATTATTTTGTCCTGCTGCACCAAGTTACTCTTCATTCTAACAAACAGACCAGAACCAAACCCAATGTGTCTGAGTAACATAATAGTCCTAAGTGATTTCTTGATAGACTTAATTAAAGCTAGCCTGCCCAGCAGAGATAACTTCTCATTAAACATGAATGCAATCTGAGCCATCGATCACTTACCATCCCCATTCTCATCGACCAACTGAAATATCCTGTCCACAACCTCCTCTGGTGTGAGCAATGGGGTCCTCTCCTCCACCTCCGACCGACACACTTTCTTCAGCTTGTAGATGGACTGAAAAGAAGTTCACAGATTAGGAGCAGGACTGGAAAATGAAAAGCAGTGAACTCCATAATCTACCCAACAGTGTAAAGGTCTTTTACAAAGGCTGAGGTTTTAACCTTTCTAGAAAGATCTGCCACTCAACAGCCTCAGACCTTTAATGAAACCTCCGACCTCATGCTCACACACACCGCAGATTACTTCATTTGCTCTTTGAAGCCGCTGCCCTCCTATTTTCCTTACACACAGTGGTCAGACCTCAGGGTTCCTTTGCAAAGAACAAGGCAAGAGTTTCACAGATGGGAAAGTCATCTGACTTTTGAGCATGACCTTCCTAACATCTGAGGCCAGGCACATCTGGACTTACCCAGCCCTCTCTCCAAGGTAACTTGTGCCCAAGCTGCAAGATCAAACCTGTATTAGTACATATTTTGACCCACAATTTCTGTTCCATTTTGTCACTGGAAAGGGGCAGATTTTATCTGTTCCTCCCATGACAACCGCCTGTTCATTAATAACTTTACTCCTTAGGCTGCAGGGTTTTCTCTGAAGTCTTCCCATAGAGGGGATTAGCAAGGGCCTAACACAGCTCTTCTGGCCAGTTCCTGGCTGACCTCAAAGCTATAATTGAACCTGCCCCAGATGCTCCCACACCTGCTGCTGGTGCTGCAGGTAACAAACTGGTCCCACTTCCCAGCCAAAAGGACTTGCTTTCCACAGATTCAATTTCTGACATTTTCTTGACACTGCATTTGGCCTAAAATTTTTGAGAACCATTGATTAAACCTCACAAGCACTGCTGTGCAAAAGTAATAGCCCCTGGGGTGCAGGGGTGACTGGCACCATCACCAAGATATTTACCTAAAGGAAGAACCCTGGCACCCTGTGTCAGGCTGTCTGCTAAACCCCATGGCTGCTCACAGCCACTAATTAAAGCTAAGTGCAGAACATAACAGAAACTCAGAAGGGAATAATTACAAAAAGGGTTTCTGCTCTAATTTGTGCATCTCAGTGTATTCTCACCAGCTACTCAGGTAGGAAACCTGGCTCCTGTAAGGAGCATGGGGTTGAAACCCTCTTCCACTGGGCAACGAATCTTGGTGTAAAAAGGTTGAACGGAAAGGCATAGCAGAGATACAGGAACTCCACAATAGCACCCAGATGCTGCATTTCTGGACAGCTTCGGCAGCAGCAGCGGCCACACTGCCCACAGTGGGCTTTACTGGTCCCTCAGCCATCCCCATGAGACTCCAAACCACTGAGCACACAACCCTTTTGCCGAGGTCAGGCATTTTCACTTCATCACTGCCCACAGCTGCCTTGAAACCTGATTATCACAAAAACCATACACATCATTACATTGCCAAAGAACTGCGATTGCTTAAATAAGTGGTTAGGTAATGCCTACTTACCTCAACAATTTCCAGCAGCTCAGGTTTATCTATGCAGCCATTCCCATCCTTGTCATATACTTTGAATGTCCACCTCAGCTTGTGTTCCAGTTTTCCTCGCAAAACAAGATTCAAGGCAGCTACATATTCCAGAAAATCAATGGTATTATCCTGTGGAAACAGAAAAGCAGCTGAATGGCACTTAACTGGGTATAGTAGATAGAAAACTGCTTACAAAACCTAGATAAAACTGCCAAGAAGATATTCCATGGGACAGCTCTATTTCACACTTTACAGAAGACTTGTGCCCATCCAAGACCATCAGTAAGCACAGCCATACCCCTCTGCAGCAAGGACAAGTTCCCAAGAAGCGACGGTGGAGAACAAAGCAGTTTTCTTACAGTGCAATAAGGTGGCACACCTGCCAGGCGTCCAGAAATGAGCAATTTAAATATCCCAAGACAACACAGATTACATAGAGGATGGGGAGGCAGATGAAGATCAGTACAGAAGGCATTGACTTTTTGGGAAGGGATTGCCATTCTCGACAACCTCAGCTGCTTGACCAATGAGACTAACACCCAACCACTACTCCTTTTCTTCTATATTTCCCCCTCGTTTGATCTCGATTCATCTGAGGAAGACAGACAATGAAAATGTCACTATTCAGGAGACTGCAGCAAGAACACCCACAATAAAGGATTTACATCAGGCCTTCATCCTCGTAAACGCTTCAGAGACAGTAAAGGGATACAGGGCTCCCTCAGCAGTCTCCACAGATGGGCCTTGCACGGATCCAGACCATCCCCAGGGCTACACCAGGCCCATGTCACCTCACAGCCCTCCCCACCCAGGAACTGCTGTTTGGCAAGCATTGCTTACCCATTTCAAGATGAGAAAGGCCACTATATTACATTTCTTTTGAGTATCTAAAATATCACAAGGTAGTATAACCGTATCTTTTGCACCAATACGTGGGTATGCATGAATTGCTACTAAACCAGAAAGCCCACTTTCCCAGGTGTCTGATGACAAATACAAAGGGAATCAAAACCAGAACATCTGAGTTGTTCAGCATTCCTTCACTTTCCAGCAGCTAAAATCCATATTTTGTTACATGCCACCTCTTCATACTGCATACATACACTTCCCTCACTGTATAGCAAGCCTGAGTAGGCCTTTCCTCCACTATAATTCCCCCTCTATCATAACAGATAAATATTTTTCGACATAGCAACCTTGGCTATTTGAGTATCTTTCAACAATACTGTCTCAAAATGCAGCTGCCTAAGTTTCAACCTTTTAATCCATCCCTAGTCCCTTAAGGGGACATTGTCCTTAATTTGAGTACAGATTTATGAGAAGACAAATCCACACCAGCCCTTACAGAATGGCACAGCATGCGCTCTTGCTGCCCTAGCAGGTCCATTGCCCTTGCCTTAGTCTCATAAAGCATATTAACAAGGGTGGGAACTGCACCAAAACACCTCAAAATTACAGAAGGCAGAGGTGTGGATTATTAGACAAATCGCTGTAGAACCTCCTCACCACTTACCCCATTCTTATCAAAAGCTCTGAACATGTTTTCAATGTACTCTGCTGCTTCACGGTTATCCTGGACTCCAAAGAACCGCTTGAATTCGTGCATGAAGAGGGTCCCACTGGGACATTCAACCACAAACTTCTTATACCATTCCTGCAATTCGGCAACATCAATCTCTGCTGGCTCCCCTTCAGCGTTGGTGAACTGCTGTCCCATTTGGCTCCACAAATCAAGATTAAAAAAAGGAGAAAAAAAACAAAACAAAAACCTCGCCAAAAGTCCTTTGCTTCTATTGCCCTTTGGTCACCTTCAGTTGCTTTTTCTTTGTTCTTTTTCTTCTTGCTGTCTTGTGACTTTATGTTGATACCGTGTCTTGCGATTTCACCTTCTTTTTTCTTGTTTTACTTTCTTCTTCCTCTCCAAGAGTTTTCACCACTACAGTTTTGCGCGCTCACTTGGTGACTGTAGAGTTGCTCCTCTGCATTAAGGCAGTATAATGTGGTCTCAGGCACATATAAAAATAACTAAGATCATTAGGAGATTCCCACCTATGAGTCACAGGGACCTTCAGATGGTCTGAGCTGTGCCCTATTTAGCAGCAGCCTCCAGAGGCTCAGGGTCCTTCTGCACATAAACACCTCCATGTCAAAGAATTTGGGAGCTGAGGTTCCCTTTACATACAACATGCAATTCCACTCACTTTAATTTTTCTCAAAAGGATTATAAGTGAACTTCCCTAGCATTAGTTTTTCAATACTGGCATATTCTACCTGCTTGTGGGGATACTCAAAGTTGCAGCAAAATAGGGCATAACAACAAACAACTACAGAAAGCAAATCCTGAAAAAATGAACCCATATGATTAACATTACTCACATGAAAAAAACTGCTAAGAAATCAAGGTAACTGAATGCCTACCATAGGCTTTACTCTACAAAAACCAATTGAGAAAGCTAAATGCACATAGATACAAGTACACATATTTCTCTCATTTTCACAGTTAATGATTAAAGCTCCCAGTTAAAAGAAAAAGAACATTTTATTTCCCTAGTTTTTAAAACATTGAGTTCTCCTTAGTCCCCTTTCCCACCTCTATCTAGCAAAACACTCCTCCTGCTTCCCCCTACCACTTTTATTACTAGTACAACCCAAGCTCTACCCTGACCTCTTTCTGTGCTGCAGCTCCCTACCCCAACCCTCTCCCCTACAGGCAGCCCACCACTCTTCCTTTCCAGAGCCACCTGCTTTTATCCATACCATACCAGCTGTTCTGAATCCAGCCATTATCTGTGTCAGCTGGAAAGAAATGACCTGTAGCTATAAATGTGTCTGAGCCAGCCTGACATCCAGATAGGATTCTTCTTTTAAGAGGATTAGAGCAGCAGTAATAGGAAACCACAGACTGCATATGATAATAAAGCTAAGGACCAGAATGATTTAAGCGGTTTGCTTTTTACTCTGGGTTTAGACAGAAGAGTTTCTCACATGGAAAAACACCAGTTAAGAGTCAGTCTAAAATTTGATACTACCGAATAGCACAGTAATTCATACTCAACTGTAAGAATAGGGTTTTTTCTAAATCTACTCACACCTGTAAGTAATCCACCAGTGGTATTGTGTGTGTATCTGTATATACACAGGTTTGTGATAGTGTGGTATAACTTTGCACTTCTGTACATCAGGATACCCAGGCAATGCATAGTTTCACTGGAGAGTCTGAAGCAAGAAGAGGCTCTGGGCAGCACAGCAGGAGTGTGGAGATGGATGGGAAGGACCAGAGGAGCTGCCAGAAAGGTTATGATGGCTCTCGTTCAATGAAAAAGTATCTTTTTATCTAATTGTGTAGAGAAACACTGTATGTCTCTGTGCCTAGAAGAATGCACCATGATTACTAAACTCAGTCCTTCCTTTTGTGAATGCTTCAGCCTCTGACTTTAAGATTGCTTCTCTGCAGCAGAGCAGCTTGAAGTCTGGCTCATGAAAAAAAGTTATACTGGATCTTTGTCTCTTATCAAGACTACTAGAAAGAAGTCTTTGGCAGCCACAGTCACGGTGGTATTTATAAAATAGTTCTGTTGCATTCTCACTTCCCCATGCTCAGTTACCTACACCTTATAAAGAAATTGCTTTTTTCCTCAGTGATATTTCATGAATCATCTTGGCTAGCATCTGGCCAGGGCATGGGTTCTCTCTTGGGGCCACAAGCAGCTTTCCAGAAGCAGAGGTGCTGCTGCTGGGGTGGGGTGGGGAGGGCTCCTTGCTGTGTGTCCTACGGCGTGGCTGGGGAGCTCTGCCTGCACTGGGGTGAAGCCTTCCACCATTTTGTGCTGCTCTCCTGCACCAAGGCTGCGTGCTGGAATGCGAGTGCTGAGAGCAGGCAGCAAGACTCCACATGCCGAGGACATTGTCTTGCCTCATTGCATAATTTTGTTTTGCCTTATGGGAACTTGGTGCTCTGTTCCCAGGAGAGAAAATGGTTCCCCTTTGTTTTGATGACTGCAATCTTTTCCAGCTAGGAACAAAGGACTGCGAGGGACCTGGTTTACAAAGCCTCGCTGGTGCTATTGCAGGTATCATGACATACAATCGTATTGATAAAAGTACTGATGTTAACTTGGCACTGAAATAAATTAAATCCCATAGCTCCTGGTATTGAAAATTCCTCTGCATATTCTCTCCTTGTCCAAAATGTGTGGTCTGCACCGTCCTGACAGAGCTGCTGTCTCGCAGCCAGTGGAATGTCACTTTATGAAGTCCAGTTTATCAGCCAAAGGGTTTCTTCATTTGATTTGGAAAAAAACATGGGGGCAGAGGTAAACATAAGCAGAGAGTGCTAAAAATAAACAGAATGATTTCTAGAAAACACTACAGTAGAGAGGTTGGTGCTGTTTGGCTGCCTGAAGGGTTGGGATCAATGCTTTATACATTATGTCAGTGAATGCTTTGGATGACTAGCTGCAAACAGGTAATGTCTGATTACATGTCCTGCCTAATGAGCTGTCCTTAGATTATCGCCAATACAGCTGCAGAGTTTCCCAGCCAAGAGCACGGAAAAAGACAGCTTATTTCCCATCAGTTCACTAACCCAACATGCTGCCACGTGCTTCAGCCCAGGCTGGTAGAAACGCAAGAGGGGGGGAAAAAAAACCAAAAAAAACCCCAAACCCTGCAGAGGGCTGGGAGGACTCATTTGCTTGGCATCTGCGTTGCTGCTTGGTGATGGCAGCAGAGGCTCTGACTAAGGTGGCAGGGTGCAGGCAGGCACAGCTCCCTAGAGTGAGAGGACAAACCTCAACAAAGCTGGAGGCAAGAGCAGATCCTTTGCCCACGCAGACGCGGCCCTCACCTAGTCATTTTGCTGCATTGCTCCATTATTTTAAGCACCCAAGCCCTGACCTGCCCTAAGACCCCTCTCCTGGGCTGGGCAATCTCAAGTGTCCTTGCGGTGGGCGTAGGAAGAGCAAAGCTCTGCCCGGGGCTGCTCCCAGCCTGGGGTGAGTGGGCAGCATCACTCTCGGTGTCTGCTTCCCCGAGTGTCAGACCATGAAGGACAGCAAACCTGAAGCACCCCTAAATCCGCCCATCGCCAGGCAGGACGGGCACGCAGACAGGAGGAATGCGGGGAGGACGGACGGCAGCGTTTGTGCTGACCCGTCCGAGGAGAGATCAAAGACCCCTCACACGCTGGCTGGGGGGAGTCCAGCCCAGCCTCCGGGCATCTCCTCCCAGCTGCCCACCGCGCTGGCCGTACCGCCGCATGTTTTGCTGCAAGAGGAAGGCCATGGTGGGAGGTGGTATTGGTACAGACGCAGCTGCCCCTCGTTTCGCACATCAGAAACGGTCGGGTACAGCAAACCCAACGTATCTAAAATCCATTTCAGTGCTATCCCACCAAAAAAACCCTGCTAACATTTGAGTGTCAGCTGCCATCTTATATTTGTTGCCAGAAAGATTCTGTTTGTGCTGACAAACTCCCGCTAAACATCACCTCTGAGTGGCTGCATTTCAGCGAGGAACGAAGCCAGAAATATTTAACCTACAGGGCCAAACTGCGAAGAAAAGTGCTGAATTACCTGCTCTCTGCGTGTGTGAGGGCTTTAAAAACTTTGCCCGGTTCCAAAGTCTGGGCGTGGGCTCGAGCTTCGGGTGCGAGTCAGCCTTCCCGAAACCGGGACTCGGCGCTGCCCGGGATGGGAAGGGGAAGGGAAATTCCCACTTCTCTTCTGTTTCATCGCAACGGGACGGCCCAGCGCC